AGCCTCTCAACCTGGCAGGCTTATTGCTTCTCCTTTGGGTGAACTTCCATTCAACCTAAAGTCTCGTCCTTACCCAACCTTCTGCAACTAATATATTATTTTATTCTTTGTAGTTACAATTAGTGAATGTTCATGTACTAGCTAGCACCTGTGCTTCAAGTCTAGCCAGTATGGAGTGAGAGTCCTAACTCATTTCATGACCTCTGAGAAACCATAGGTTTTAAGTAATAATTGCAAAATGAGGCCTAGAGTCATGTGAGGCATAAGATGATAAATCTGAAATTACCAGAAGCAATGAAACAACTTTTGGCATTTCATGAATATTTTCTTAATGGATGGGATTTGTTCTTCCACAAGTACTTACAGAAACCAAATGGTTTGAATCAGTCTTCCAGAATCACTGGAAAACATTCCCCCTTAAAATGACTTCACTGCTCTTAAGATATATTATTCAAGTTGAGTTGCATGCCTCTAATCCCAGTAGCTCAGGAGTATGAGACAGGAAGATTCTGAGTTCAATGCTGGCCTCAGCAATGTAGCAAGGTCCTAAGCAATTCACTGAGATCTTATCTCTAAATAAAATACAAAAAAAAAAAGGGCTGGGGATGTGGCTCAGTGGTTGAGTGCCCCTGAGATAAATCACCCATACCAAAATAAATAAATAAATAAATGCCATATATTTTATATATGTATATATATATACACGCATATATATGTAATATATATATATATACATATATATGTAATTCAGAAGGGCAAGGCAAATGCATAAGTGAGAGAGAGGGAAGGCAAGGGAAATGTCACAAAAAATGTTGGTTTGGTAAGGTGAGGATGGTTCCATAACAGGTATGTGACCTGGAGCCCCATCATGATGTGACATTGATTTCTRATATTGGAAACTCTCCTGTATGGGAGCAGAACATAGAATAAGGGTTAATAAGTTGTACTTGATTCACTCTCTTTCAGCAACAGCCTCTTGGTGGTCCTTCTTTGAGTCTTTCTCAGACATCTTTTTCTAGGACACAAAAATCTAGGGAGCATGAATCTAATTTTCCTTCAACCTACCCATTCCCAATGCTTGCCACATATAAGCAATGTAATTATTGCCATATGGGAAAAATGAGGTGGGTTTCCCCTGGATGCTTATTGGATAAATATATGCAAGTCTCCACAAACCAGTTGTTTGGTGACAGGGAATATGATTCCCAACTGAATAAGTTGGATCTAAAAACTAACTGAGAGAATGAGATTTTGACTACATTGCCACAGTTATACATTCATTACACATCTAATTGCTACCAAAGTAATATGTACCTGCTATGTACAAGTTCTCTGCTAGGTACAATGATGAAGACAATATAAAGATACAATGAACCACACCCACAGTATTTAAATAAGAATGATGAAAATTATGGTAACAATTGGTCATGACCATTATCATCAGAAAGATATATATTTAAAAATACATGTGAGTTCAGACCAGGGGAAGATGTTATTTAGGCAAAGCTCTCTGGAAAGTTTCTATGTGAATACTGGCATTGAGCTGAGCCTTAAAATACAAATAGAATAGGGGGATGAAGAAAGGTGAAGAAGTTGGGAAAAATATTCCAATCAGGGATAGCATGAGCAAAGATACACTTTAGTCAAAACATCGGTGCTTCCAGTCCAATTCCCATATGATGGTTTTTACTCCCTTTCCAACTCTCTGGATTATTCTGTAATGCCCCAGACTTTGTCTCCTAAACATGGTCACTGGCAGCCACAAAGTCAGAAATGCCTAAGGGAGCGATTGAGGTCATGTTCCTCAAACTTATTGATAACATGTTTCTCATCTCCTTCCTATTTTCATGCAATTTCAAATCTCTCCTGCAAAGAGAATTTCCTAAACATTTTCTGACATGTAGGAAGAAACCAACAAAACCAATCTTGGATGACCCTCAGGTATCTGCAAATGCTTATCTTATATTCTCATGAAAGAAAACAGGGAACGGAATTTAAAAACCARAATAAGGCTAGTGAATTCCTGAAAGGAGACAGTTCTTTTTCCCTTGGAGACAACCCAAATTATGAATTGCCGTTCTCACCGGCAACAGACTCTGGCTTGAATGTTTTTAAAACAGGACTGCTGAACATATGCTGAGCAATTAATGGAATGCAGCAGCATGTTATAATGGTCCCTGGGAAGGTATTAGAGATCCTGCTTATGAGACATGAAATGTTGCAAACAGTGGTCCTTTTCTTAAAACAAAACAAAACAAAACAAAAAAAATCATTTTCCCTCCCTACAAGGGAGATGAAAGGGAAAAGAAGGTGAAGTGAAGTGAGAATTCTTCCTCACTCTTCCTCCTTTTCTTCAAACTTCCTCCTGCTTCTCTTCTAGACACCCAAAAATGAATATGTTCATTTCAAATTAAAAGAAATTGTGGAAAAACCAGGTTCCGTGGTGCATGCCTGTAATCTCAGTGGCTTGGGAGGCTGAGTGAGACAGGAGGATTGTGAATTCAAAGCCAGACTCAGCAATGGTGAAGCACTAAGCAACTCAGTGAGAACCTGTCTCTAAATAAAATACAAAATAGGGCTTGGGATGTGGCTCAGTGGCCGAGTGCCCCTGGCTTCAATCCCTGGTACCAAAGAAAAAGAAAACAAAGAAAGAGAAAAATTGTGGCAATTATCTCATCCCACAAATCCTTCATTCAAAGTGTCAGGCTTTCCATGTGTGAAAGGAGAACTCTCTTTATTGCTTTTGGTAGATAGAGTCTAACACCTGTTAAAATATTTTTTGTATTGTTTTTCTAAATCAGATAGCTAGTTCTAACTTAAAATCAATCTCAAACAAGAAGCTGAACCCTCTTAAATTTGGCTTCCTTGTTTCAATTGTTGAAAAGTGCTAATCTTGACACAAGTCTTGGCCAAACCAGTCTCAGTTAATTACCAAATTCTTAAATTCCTATTTTTTAACTTGGTCCCAGCTCTAACTCAATTCTTCTTGCATGAACATTTTATAAAATAGCATTTAATTTAATATTTCAAATCCCCCCCAATAATCTGAGCAGTATTTGGCACATAATAAAAAATAATAAGTCAAATGAAAATCAAACAGAAATAATAAAGTATGGAAGAGAACTATGAGAGAAAGAAGAATGATGAAATGTTGGCAGCCTTCAGAGTTGAAGAATTGGAAACATGAGGCTAGCTGTCTGTCCAGCTTCACTTAGGATGCTCCCCCTTCCGGTAGATGATTCTGGTAAAAGGAGGGTTTTCTGATAAATCACACCAGTGCCGAGCACAACAGACAGCCTGAAGACGTCATTCAGAAGCTGAGTATGCTATAAAGCAAATTTTAGACCACAAAAGATGGACTAGATAGTGATCCCTTCAAATAGAGTTCAGTATGGAATATCAGGTTCAGTTGCTTTTCAACCTCTAAATTCATAGGGAGGAAGTAGCTCCACCTGCCACAGGAGATGATTATGAGATCCAGTCTGCCTTATGAACAGAATAGAAAATTTAATTAAATAAATTTCACACCTCTTTTCAAAGGTCTGGATGACTTCTCAGAGTCCACTCAAGTAAGTACAGGTGTTTACCCTGGAATGATCCATACTCCTCCTCCATGTCGCATATCTATGAACAATGACTTCTAAATATTTATTTCCTTAATGCAATGGAACTTTTAAAACAAAAATTTCCATGAAATTCTAAAAAAAGAAAAAGATGAAATCCAAGGGAAAGAAGGTCAGTGGCCAATCTGCTTGGCCTTTCTCTAGTCATAGAGTGACTTCTAGGGATTTGTCCTCACTAATTCTACATCCTCAATGTGGCTGTCTTTCCCTAGTTCTTTGGTGTTTGGAATGATCTCTTGAATTCAGGCTTCCCAAAGATGACAACTTTTATAAAATTCCCTGTATCATTTTGACTATATACAATTAATCTCTGCTTTAAGTTTCCTATATAACTTTGATTTTGTTATTTAAAATAAAAAAAAACCATGAAGCATTACCTGAATTAACCCAATCCTCACACGATCCACTGATAAACTAAGGTTATCAATTCTGAGGCACACTGAATTTAGTCTATTATCTCAGCCTGCACAGTGAGTACTAGAACAAAATTGAAACAATGACCTGGTTGCAAAAATGTAAAATAAAATGGAACTCAAGAGATTATGTTCTCTTGCCTCTTTATATAAATATTTATGCACCTTAGTCAATTAAGATACCTCYATGGCCTATCATCCATGCCCCACTACCATCTCACTGCTACCATCAAACTTTCCCATGCCATAATCAGATTATGAGTTTTGTAAGTATTTTTACTCCATTAAATGGCAGCACAGTACTCTGTTAAAAAAAAGTAATTTATAAATATTGCTCTTTTTCTTGTTAATACACACAATTATATTTATTTATAAAATGCTTGAGACTATTTGTTTTGTCACTGAAATCTTTCTATAGCCTTAGAAGGAGGATTACTCCAATTTTTTACAGAAGTGACAAAAGCTCAGTGACTTTAAGTGACTTGCAAAATCACGATCAACTTGAATTTTCCCTCCTGACTATGGTCCTACATGACTTCTATGTCTCTGCTATTTCACCAGCAACACATTGAAGAAAGCAAATCCTTTTTAAGATGAATGATTTTAAAATAGGGCTTTGAAGAAAGAAGAAAGGAAAAAAAGGTTACTTATAAGATCAATGTTATTTTCAAGAGTTCCATTGAGACGAAGAATGTTATCATGTGAGGAGATGAATCTTTAGTGATTCACTGACCATTTTTGACAAAGACATAGGAACCATCATCTTATTCTGTTGTCTACTGGTTCCCATTAAGGCAGAACCATCAAGAAAGTAAACTTCAAAGAATTGGTGCCAAAAATTTAAGATTAGTGGTGACATCATGTAGCCTTCAAATAAATAAATAAATTTCACACCTCTTTTCAAAGGTCTRGGCTTTCCCTTTGACGGGGCCACTAGCCAGAGTCCTGGGACACAGAAACTGACCTGCTGTTAGGTGAGCTGCATGGACCAGAACTTGGACCCCAGGCTTCAACTCAAAGTGCACTGAGTTTTGGTTGAGCTTATGGATCAGTACTTCTGATATCTGAAAGAAGAAGTGTTATAGTTAGTGTKACCAAAACTGTTAACACTGATCATGAATAAAAATGCTGAGAAATATTACTATTCTTATTGAGGTATCCCAACATTATACCTGTAAATTGTATAAGCAGGTTTTATATGATTTTGAGTTATATTCTGGAGTATGTAGATAGAACTATTTTTAAGTATGACCAGACTTTACATCCTAATTGCTACAAAACAAGATATTAGCAAATAAGATCATTTCTACTTTTAAAACTTACCCTGTGTTACCTTAGAGAAGTCACTCTCAGTTTTCTCAGAAAGCATTTGTTATGCATAAGGACTTAAAAGAAGTAGATAGAAACTTCTTTTTTCATATTATTATTTTTTTATGTGGTGCTGGGGATCAAACCCAGTGTCTCACATGTGCTAGGCAAGAGCTCTACCACTAAGCCACAACCCCAATATACACATTCTGGTGAGATTCATGAGATTTCATTTGCCTTTCCTTCCCTTCCCCAAACCATATCCCATGGCTCTCCCAGACGAGGTACTTTGTGGGTACTACTGAATGGTAAATATTATTCTTATGAAATAATAAATTGTATAGTTGAAACAAAGTGTATTCATAACACAAAATGTGGCCAACAGGGGGAGTGATCCTATTTGCTCCTTGGGCCGGCACGTGAACTGGACAGAACCATAGAATTCTGGACCATGGAATATTGAACCTGACCATGGGGTGCAGAACTTACTTTTGGTAAATAGTACAAGGCAAGGTTTATAGATATGGTAAAATTCTATTCAGTTGTTTAGAGCAGACTTTTACTCAGTTTTGCTTATACTTTTGAAGAATTTCTGCAAAGCTATGAGGGATAATCACCCTCCTCTTATTTTTATCTGGTATCCTTATCTATTTTTAATAATCTGTTTTAATCATAAAGTCCATATTTTATTTGATACACTATTTAAATGTAAATAGATGCTTTCTGAGCATCATTCTGCTAGTAAAATTCTTCATTTCCCTCTTTTTTTCTTTTTATCGAGCTTCATTTTCTCCACTGAGTTGCCAAAATGACACTTTTGATCTCTTTAATAATTAAACAGGGCCTGATGGCTTAGTTTGGCAGCACAGACCCTTAAAGAGTGCCCTGGTTGGCAATAGAACTAAATTGCCCTGAAGATGAACTTCTCTGCTGAACAACAGGAGCCTGGGATAATTCTCCATGCACTATGGATGGACACCTGGGATCTTGAGTAATCCCAGTCTCTCAGATGCTGTCATTTGACAAACCACAGAGAAAAATGAGACTTTTAAAACTATGTTGAAAACAACTTTTTCCCCTCTCTATTAAGATACTCCTTTTCTTGAGTACTGACAATCTTCTAGAATGGTTCCAGTTTATAGGAGGAATGGATTTCTAATCAATAATCCATCAAATGGATTACCTATATGTCCTGTAAGGTTCTTTCCTGCCTATTCTTTTCTCTTTTTAAAGATTATTGGGATATTATTATTATTATTATTGCTATTTTGCTATTATATTTTTATGTGATGCTAGGGATCGAACTCAGTGCCTCACATGTGCTAGGCAAGCACTCTACCACTAAGCCGCAACCCCAGCCCTCCTATCTTATTCTTATCATTCAATTGGTAGGGTCTTGATAGGAATCTGACAATGGTTCTTTAATAAAGGTTTTGTCTGTGAAATACAAACATGCATATATAATAATACATATACTATACATATATATACGCACAAAATTGTATATGTAATTGCATAAAAATTATTTTWACTCAGTATGAAAGACTTGTGGTAAACAAGTTAAAAGTTGACCTTTTTATGTAGAAATTATCACAAACAAAAGGGAACAATGTACTTGTAAGAGAAAGACTTTCCTCTTTCAACCAGGTGAAGCTGTACTCATTTCTTATCCCTGTAAATGTTTTTCCTCAAGAGAGAAATATAAATAAGCAAACCAGAAAATAGATTTTATCAGAATAGCATGCTTCTCATTTATAATCTTCAGGAAACTCCCTTCTGAAAATGATTAACTTCCTAGACGTGTTTGGTTCCTAGCATTGCTTCATTGGTTTTTTCTGTATCATTTACAAAACTAAGCAGGCTGKGCAAAAATCATCGGGTAGCAGAAAGTATATTTCATGTATTTAACTTGCATCAAAGGACATTCAATAAAGAACACATACTCTGTGGGAAAGAAATTGTGCATAAGAAACAAAACTAAGTGAAATTTACATTCCATACAAGAATARCCTCAATTAGAACCATGTACTTTTCTACTCAAATAAATTACTGTGAGACTGTTGACAGATTTTGACAACATTTTAAATATTTACTATGTTACTTGCAGAAATGCATATCTTGGATTGTGTGCGTCAGATCATGAGCTGGTTGCATATATTTTTAAGAATATTATATGTGCATTGAGCACTTTATTTTGATAAAATTGCTTCTTTCTGGCTGTTATTCCTAATACTACATGTCTGGTGTCTATGTGGAGTGGAACACAGAGCTAACTGGACAGACCTAAGTTTACCCAGTTCATATTTGAAGAATTGAGACTAGACTTCAGCTTTGTTTGACCTGTAATCTAGAGAATTTTCATTTAAAAAAATAGTCTGTGAACAAGTTGACAAAGACAGCCGGAGATATGTAGAGAAAGTACTGGCTAAGTGGGCTTAGGAGAGAGAAAAAAAAGAAAGGTTCATTTTATTAATTTTGCTGTCATCTCTGATTCATCCGTGAAGCATACAAATTAAAATACCATCCCCAAAGTCAGCTGACTAATATGGACCACAGGAATAGGCAATTCCTAATCTCAGGACTGTCACATTATTTTCACTAATCTGTACCACTTGTAATATTTGGGAGCATCTGGGCTTTGAGAAGAGTACAATAAATGCAATCCACAGAGAGGTGCAGGGTAAGACCTAAATGAGCAGATCAAAAACACTGGCCTGATAAAGATCCAAGTGAAACAATATGTAATATCTGGGAGAGTGAACCTGCCAAAGCAGGTAGAATTTACTTCTGTTTCTTTTTCTGTACTGTAAAATTGTGTTCCTATAATGCACCACTAAAAATACATGGAAAACAAAACACAAATTCTTAGCAAGTACATCCCAATAATTAAAACCAAAACATGAGCTTGATTAAAGGTTTTGGTGTTCATAGCCTTAAAGAATGCATATTTTTTAGCCAATTTCATTTATCCATTTATCCTCTGTACTGACATCTTCCTGATGCTGCTCTCCTACACAGTTCACTTCCTACTGTACTGTAGCTAAACAATCATGGTCAAAGAAACAGCAAATTATTCCCAGTGTCTACTTATTAGGTAGACTATGCACATGATTCAAATGTAGCCCACACTTCAGTTAAATTACCACATCAGAGGACAGTGGGGATTCAATACAAATAGGATAAAGGCTAGAGGGACCTGCTAGAGGAAAAATACCAACTTTCTTCTTGCCTTCTTCATAAAAGATGAAGATCAAGTGCATAAAAGATGAAGATCAACTAGGGTGGGCTGAAGAAAGCATGGTAACTTCTCAGAGGCTTGAAACAATAAAGGCATACTTTTTGCTCACACGTGGTAACATATTCACTGTAGATAGATATTTCTTAATGATCACACTGGGAACTAGGCTGGTGGAGCAGCCATCTTAAACATTTCCATTTGCTATGCCTTGGGAGGAGAAAACAGTTCTCAAGGCTTATGGGCACTTGAACTTTTCAGACCGCAAGTGATACGTATCACTTCCAATCCTAACTCATTGGCCTGAATAAGACCTGTGGCTCTGCCCAATCAGAAGAGATGCACAGGTATGATCCTACACTGCAACACAAAGGCAGTGGGCTGGAAACATTTAGTCAACACCTGTGATGATGACTACACAAATCTAAACCACTTTTAATTAAATTCATTAGGGATAAGCAGTCTCAGATTATCAGAACAAAAATGTCAATCATTGAAACATGAAAACATATAAGCTTAAGATCAACAGAGCATTTGGCACATTTATAGAACGTGGAGCACAAAGAAGTGGCATCAGGTGAAGATATAGATTTAAAAATGGGTTTGGAAAATTTATCAACTATAAGGCTAACCTTGGCCAAAATATAACRCTTATCCATGATGTTGGTATGAGGAGCACAAACCCTAATGAACATAAAAAAGCATTTGTGGCAAGATAATTGAGACGGAGCCTGGCCTGAGATGACCTCAGAGCTGATCCACTTGGTCAATCCTAATGCTGTCACATTTTAAGGTCCCTTCAAATAGCATTTGAGGAATCTTTCTCTTATATTCAATGGAGGAAGATTTTCCCCAACTTACACCACACAGTGTCAGGATTAAATCACAGGGAGGCAATGCAGCCAAATGCCACCTACGAGTTAACACAGTTCACGCAATCCAATTCTTTCTTATCAGAGAAGATTCAGCTTGATGAAAATGCTGAAGGAGTTTCCTGGATGATGTACAAGAAGAAACAAATCAACCACTAATAATTCTTTCTGCATCACCAGTTTTAAACTTCTTCCCCCAAAAAGGTCTGTTTCTTACCTACTCTACTTTTAGTTATAGTTTCCTATTTCAGTGACCTTCCCTTGTGAACTCCAGAGTACCTTTGTAATCCAAATCTTCACATTAAAAATTCAGGACAAAGAAAGTAGACCAGGTGGGTATCGAATACAACCTGGAAGTATTAACTACATTTCATAGTGAATCTTTAGTTTTCTAAAATGTTGCCAATAGTCTATTCTATGTTTATATCTGCCTCTGCTTTCTCCCTTTGATTTTGTATTCTGCCATCTGTCAAATGTGAAAATTAATACAAACAGACAAGGGAATGTATTGTGATTGACATTTTACATGGACATTTTTTTTTGTTCCTTTTAAACATTCTCATAGCCTTTAAGGATTCTGAAAGACAACACTAAACAACATCATCGCCCCAGAACAGCATCACAAAAAATCTCCCTGAGCATTGTGGCCTTCCCTCCTCCCATCAGGAGAGATGGGTGCAGACTCATCACCCCTGAGGACTTGAAGAAAGCAGGGAAATGTGGTGCCTGAAAGGCAGAGCCTGTTCTGTCCTTGAGCATCTGGCCTCAGCACAGCAGGATGCACTACCCCTAGAGAGGCCACCGAGGGCAAGAGAGCCTTTTCTCAGTTGCTAGAGAGCTGAAAAAAAGACTGGTTGGAACCCTTCTGGAAGAAGGTCACTTGATTAACCCAGCCCGCATGATCCTGATAACAGCATCAAGTACTATCACAGGGAAGAATTTTCAATTTATTTCACAGAAAAGATAGCTCAATCCAAGCCAGCATCTCTGCTCTCCTGGGAAAGCTCCCAAAGGAAGCTCAGGGAGGAGAGTCCAGGGCCTTTGCTGGGTCTTTACCTCCCATTCTTCAGGGCCTGCTGGCCAGGATCCTTGTTCTTCCCTGCTGGGCTTCTGCACACTTAGGTTTACAAGAAGGAGGCCAAAGCATGAGGAGAGGGAATGAGGTCAGCCCTTCCCAAGTTTCCTCYAAGATTTAGAATAATCTTCAAGGGAGAGGTTCATTTCTGTTGTTTGGATTTGCTGTGCATTTTTTTTTTAATTTGTATGTATTTCATTGTATTGAAAGTCAGTTGTGTTTGCCTGCCCAGTGGACCTTCTCCCTCCCCCTTCATCTTTCTGTGAGGGACCAAGTGCCCTGCTCTCAGCCCATTTGGTTCAGGAAGGGCTGCCCTAACCCCATGAGGTGAAGAGCACATAAAACACTGGAGTAGTCACTGTTCAATCCTTCAGGGAATGGATAAGAGATCCCACTTCACCCAGGCTGGAGTGGTGAAAACTGCAAAACCAGGACTATGGCTGGTGCTGTCTGTGGGATGGAGTTGACAAAATGGCCACATAGCAGCTGGTGCTGGCTGTGGCCATCCTTGCTTTCTATGTGCTGGCTTCATTCCAAAACAGGCTTCACATATGGTAGTAAGGAAAAGAGAGAGAGAGAGAGAGAGAGAGAGAGAGAGAGAGAGAGAAGGAAGCAATTTGTAGACACTTCTGAATGGCTCTGAGTTCATCCATGCTGGGACTGAATCTCTGGACTTCTAAATTAAGTGAGTTCATAAGCTCACTTGCTTTCTCCAGAAAGTTATTTAAGAGACTAAGTCAGAGAAGAGGCTCGAAAGATCCACCTAGATTGAAAATTACAGGTTTCCAGTGGGCAGCCCATTTCATAGGCCCTCCAGAAGTGTGTTGTTTTAAAAGTTGATTTACTGTACTTTCTATCAGGGTAATAATGTTATGCATAACCAAGACACCAATTTCTCAGGGGTTCTGTGTGGTCAYCATGTTTATTTTGGTTTGAGTCCTGGAACAGACTGCAGCCATCTTCCTTAATCAGAGTTACAATCTCTAGCTTGGTATCCTATTTTCTTTTAAAATGATATAAGTAAGTCTTCTGTTCTAAACCTGCATAATTTACATGGGCTCACATCATTAATATACATTCTTGCCTTTTCATATTGTCCTTGTTTTTGTCTCCATTTTGTACAATCCTATTCACTAATTTTTTTTCTTGCTTACTCACCACACTCTCTTCCAATATACGTCCCTGACTATATGTCCATTTAATAAGACTTAGCTGTTTTTTTTTTTTTTTTTGAGCCCAGGGGGGCACTCAATCACTGAGCCATGTCCCCTGTSCTATTTTGTATTTTATTTAGAGACAGGGTCTCACTGAGTTGTTTAGCACCTCACTGTTGCTGAGGCTGGCTTTGAACTCATAATCTTCTTGCCTCAGCCTCCCGAACCCCTGGGATTACAGGCATGTGCCACCGTGCCTGGTTAATAAGCCTTAACTTTGAATTTGCATTTCCACATCTCTTCCTATTATAAAATAAGCATAAATATAGCTATTATCAACTTGCCACTTATGGAATATCTTCTATCAAGCAAGTTCCCCAACTGTATTATTTATTTCATCTTCTCAAACACCCTATGGAATCGCTGTGACTTTGGCTACACCATTTAACTTTTCTTTCTGTTCCTTATTTTCCTCCACTATGAAATAGACACATGGATATCAGAGCTGAAACTAGAAGCCTGGTTTATATTTCTCTAAACTTGTGATCTTTCTACCAAAATGGCTGATGCCCCCCATGGGTGCTGGGTKCTATGTTGCACAGTCTTTCTTCAAATGAGTCAGCTGCCTTAAGATCTCTGATAAAATGGTTTTTCAATGACTCATTCAGGCTGCCTGGGTACCTTCCCTCAGCAACCTGTGTGCCTCTGTGAAGGAAGCACCCAGAAGAGACAGAGAAGAGAGGGAAAGAAGTCCAAAGAAAATCGGCAGTCAAAGCAAGACACATCCTGCATAAACATGTTTAACAAATAGACCCTTCTTTCCATGTTTCCCCTCAAGGAATCATTGAGAAAATACTACAGTAAAAAGGGGGGGGGCAGTATGAAACATAGAAATGCATGGATGATGTCATGCCTGGGAAAATATCTGGCTCTATCTCTGGACTCTCTCCCATACTTAAAATAATTATAATCTGGATTTCACAGAGAACTCCTAAAATTTCCAGAAAAGGAACAGCTGCAAATGTCCATATCTAAAGAACTTGGATAGGATTAACTTCCCCTCAGGTTCTCAGCATTCTGTGGTAAGAAATAATTCATTTTTTCTCCTATTACATTACAGTGCAGACAATAATTTGTAGAATATAATGGGAAGCTTAGCATGGTAGGGGGCAAGGTCAGATGCAAATCCAACAGGTTACCTGCCGCCTGCTCTCCAATTGCAWCTTGAGAGGAAATGGGTTCATCCGGGACTTCTGGGAAGCTATGTTCTTCATGACTTACACACAGAGAAAATTAGAGAGGCAATTTTTCTGATGGGTGAGAAAATWGCAGCTGAAAGGAGAATATATGCTCAGAGGTGGACTGAGCTTTAATTTGGGGTTGTTGTTAGTAAGGGTATTGTAGTTCGTAGGCCAACCTGGAAGACTAGAGATCATGGGACTGGATTATGGGTTTATTCAAAGTAAATTAAAAAGCTCCAAGTTCTTGAGGAGCCAAATCCAGTACTTATTTAGTGGTTGAGAGGAATCCCTTTTAAAATCTATGTTCCTGGAAGAATTGAGAAACCCAAATCCTTAGGTTTTTATGAGAACAACAGACCAAGACAAATCATTTTAGTTGAATGGATAAAGGAGAAAAATATCTTCCTCAATACAGAAGGAGAAGAGCCTTTTGAAGTTAAAAGGATGAGAAAGAAATACAAAATGACCAAAGAGGGCAGGACACACACACACACACACACACACACACACACACACACAGTAAGACTCCAGAAGTGAACGAAATGAAGAGAAGGTGAACCTTCACATAGCCAGAAGAGGAGCTCTAGAGCAGATATCACACAATCTTTGTGAATACAATCTTAGCACAGGATCAATGTTTGAATCAAAGTTGTAGTTTTTATAAAAGGTGTCATTGGACTCCCACGACACTCAAAAATGAAAGAAGTCAAGTAAGTTCTAAGTGGGCTTCTTGTCCATGTGTCAATCAGCTACTTGCTTTTTTCTCATAATGTCTTGGGCATGCTTTCATGCCTATGCACATAGATTTCTCTAACTAATCATAAATGCTGCCGAGTATTTTACAGTATGAGCAGTTCGGTCCTGTRTTGATTTGGTGAAACTACAGTTAGGGCCACCAGTGTGTGACTGAGAAATGGAGAACCAGAAAGCTGAAGACTCCCCAGAAGAGGTGGTGCTCCCAGACCCTGCTCCCCAGAACCCCTCAGAGCTGCTGTGATGGTGGAACTAGCAGTGGGGCGACCCAGACGGCAAGCAGAAGCTGAAAATGGTGGCTAGGGGACTTACCTGCTCCAGGTCCTCCAGTGACCTTTTGTTTTCTCCTGTTGGATCCTGGTAAGGCAAGACAAAGAGCTCGGCAGTGGTGGGTAAACCAGGCAGTACTGCYACCAGGATGTGCTGGCTTGGAATTCCTGTGGCCTGAGAAAGAGAGGCTCAGGTGAGTCCTGCAGAAAATGGTGAAAAGGAACCAGGTATTCAGCTGGGGTGTGGGTTGAGGCAGAAGATACAGGGAAGTGTGTGGGGGACATGAAGGCAGAGGCCTGGGTGCTCCTGGCAGGAAGGCACAGGAGAGGCACCCCTGGATCACAAGTGCAGACTCCAGAGAGATCCACAGAGGTTTCTTCCCAGCTCTGTCACTGTGAGACTCACCCATCACTTATCTTCTCACTGCCTACATTTCCTTAAATAGAAAACAGGGACCCYCACTTACTAACTTCTTTATCTGCACCCCCAGGCCATCATTCCTGCTAACCCAGCTTCTTCCTTCGTCACCCAAGTGGAGATACTCTTCAAATCCASCAGTCATATTCTAATTATCAACCCAACTAGGACAGCCCTCAGGGGCTCCTGTTCACTTCTGTCCAGTACCAGAAGCTGATGGCCAGTCGTACTCCATGAAGCACTCTGAGCCCTTCACTTGCTGTGCTCACGCTTCTCTTAAAATTAGAGATATTACTCAATTTCCTCTTTGCCTTTTTCTAGCTTTCCCTTAGGCTTATATCCCAGGGTGTCCCCCAATCCCTCTCTCTGCACAGTTCTAGGATCAGCAGTCATAATCCCACCTTCTCTCTTCATGGTCAGTCAGAACACACTGCTTGGCTCTTTCCCTAGGACTTCCAACAAATGTATCAAAAAAAGAACTTGCCATTCCACCCCCCGCCATTTTCATTCTCTTTAAGGTGACAGGRAGTAGGCCCTTCCCAGATTCTCTAGCCCGAAGCCTTTCACTCACCTCCTGTATTAGACCCTCCTGACTCTGTTACRAGCAATCATCCTATGAGACCCTGAAAAGTCTTCTTCCACACTAATGCTCCTATTGGTTCCTTCTTACTTAAACATCCACCACTGAAATCCCAACTCAATCTTTATGTGCACYCCATCAAGTTTTACCTGTGTTTCTCTGTGTGCCTGCCACCTCCCTCGGGATGTCTTTTCTCTCTGTTTGCAGATAGAACTCTGCTTACCTTTCATGAGTCATTTACAAATCCACACATTTCAGTACMTCGGTCCCTAGTTTCTCAAGTAGGTGACTGTCTTGGAGCTACCTTTTTTGAAGTAGTCACAAATTTTCTAGGCATTTGATTCCTTATYGTGTGCCTGGAATTTTGCTAAGTGACCTATAGATATTGTTTTATACAAAATAAATAAATAAATAATAAAGCAAGCAAGTATAGTTCCACCTTACTTGGATGGTAAAAAAAAAAAAATCACATCACAGGTTGGTGCCTCAGGATGCTCACTCTGAGTTTAGTGTTCAGGGAACTTAGTAAGAAGAGCTTGAGAATAACACCTATGGGGTAGGGAAGGTTAGCAGGCGTGGACAGGGGAGGAACTGAGCAGCCATGTAGGTCCAGTGACAGCCTCAAAGGACCTGTGGGGAGACAGGCTGGCCTTCAGAGTTTTTGTAGGTTGGGCTGAGATAGCCAGGACTTTGTGTGTACAACCATACCTGTGCATCACTCGACTGGAGCTACCCTGTGAGATGACATGATGCAGGACAAGGCAGGTAAAGCCTCTGCCCACCGCTCCCTAGCAGCTAAGACAAGTCTCTCCTGAACCAGGATCTAGGTATGTGTCCTTATCTCCACCCCAGGATCTAGGTATGTGTCCTTATCTCCACCCTGAGGGCAGGTGAAATAGTGGCTTTTAGGAAGAGGCTGTGATGCTTATGAAGCTGCATTTCACGGTGAAGCCTGTGACGGTAACCTGAACTCTAGGCCTCCTTTCTTCTGACACACACACAAACCAGCTCCCATTACAGCTGAGCACATGCTGTTTAATGCCCCTATTAGATTGTAAACTCAGAGATTAAATTAAATCATCCTCATTATAACAAAAATGCTTCCTGAATGACATTTAATTAAAGATTTCATCATGATATGTCAATAGCAAAAGCCAATTTGATGAGGAATGGACCACTAATTTTATACCAAATTCTGTCACATAAATGAATAGGAAGAAAACTGCCAATAAACCGACTCTAAGTTGTACATTTTATAGGGATTSTTAGGGCACACTTGGCAATGTGTCCCTTAAGACTTAGGAAAGTAGCCAAGTGTAATTGCTGATCTCAAAGACAGGGTTCCAGGGGACCACAGGCTGGATCAGCTGCCTACTGGGATGGAGTAACTGGAGAGTTTTGGGTACTAGAAGATATTACCACCCCCCCCCACCCTGTCCTGAAGGATGCTGAGCAACACATTTATTCTTGTTTAGCTGATTATAATATGCAGCAGCCTTAGGAATACTGATGAGCAGTGGTTTCTGGCCTACTGGACAGCTGGTGGGAAGGAGGCGGCCCAGGGCATCTGACCTCTAGATAATGTGAAGAGAAATCATCCCAGAAGGCTAATCACTGCTGAGTTGGTGCCTGAGCTGGTGCCCACAATCACCTAGTGGGTTTGGATTGTTGCCTGGGATTCTTAGGTCCCTAGGGGATCCCATGTCCCTAGAAGGTTGCAGAGTTAACCAGGTGGGCTGTGGGTTCATGGAAAGTTGTAAGTCATCTCACTTGAAGAGCAGGAGAAAGAAACCAATTGTCACTCCAGGGACAGATGGCTCCAAAGGCAGAAAGTCCTTAGTCTAGTAGCTGCTCTTCCTGGTGGCCATAGTGTTGAAGCTTCAGTAATGGCATGCCTGGTGAAGCCATGGAGACAGAGCTGGACTGCAATTACCAGGAGACACATGAAGATCCCCCTTCTCTACCCCAGTATGGCTTCCCTCCCTGTTTCTCCTTGAAGAAAGACAATAGACAGCAGTACTGTGGAACAGTAGGAAACCACAAAATGGAGATTCTAGCCTTGAAGGTCTGAGCCTGAATTTGTAGCGGCATGACCTTGGGCAAGTTCCTGGACGCCTCTTATACCTGTAAAAGGAGTACAGGCTTCATACCAATGCYATAGGCTTATCCTTGGTATTTAACATTAAACAGTATGAAGCACTGACRGGAGGGTCTAGAATATTTTAAGTGCTAAACAAATGTCAATAAAGGTCATGGTGTGAGGACTGGAATGCTGAGAGGCTGATTTGGGATCTCTTTTCTGACCAGGGTTCTCTGAATGTCTTATTATATCACGATTTTCCATCAGTGATGACATGTGTTGGGAGCAGGATATACAGAAACTTAAACTGATTTTCTGTGTGGGTTCAGAACCTCAGGAAAAGACAGCTCGTGCCTACTGTCCTGGGTTTGTGCACCTAGTCCAAGCAGCTATCCCACTGTGCTCACTCCTGCCAGTGGAGTAGGTCGGGGAAGATGGTATCCCCACAAAGGGTGTCTTACCCACTCTTTAGGAACATCTGCTCAGGGAGGGATAAAGTGTACCCTCTTGGATGCTCCTAGAAAAACCTCAGGAGATCATGTTGCATTACAAAACCCTAGACACTGGACTCAGGCCCTTCATTTCAATTCTGAAGCTTTGTCACCTATTGGCTGTGAGAGTTTATGAAAGTCTTCTAACTTCTCTGAACCTCAGTTGCCTCATCTATGAGAAGAAAATAGTAATAGCTTCCCCTCGATACTGGTACAGGAGGGAAATGTCTTTAAGAGAAGCAGGACATGTGACCCACCATCAGGTATGAGTCCTCACTGCACACAGTGTGGGGCTGGCACCCAGGCTGCTCTTAGTAATTACACCTGCCCACAAGGACACTTGAGCRCGTGCCCCTCCATTATTGTGCACAGGGGCTCATCTTACACTAAAGGCCTCATCATGAACTCTGAGCAGAATCAACTCTGTGAGGGACAAGCACCTCATGACTGTCACGGTTGCTCTTTACCCTGGTGCCTGCCACAGGCCTGCATGTGAGGGCTTAGCACCGATGACACCACACCTCGGAACTAGCTTCTTGTGGCTCCATCTCTTTCCTGTCCCTTCTTAGATGTTCTTCCATAAAGTTCTCCAAGGACAGAGAGAAAATGTGTSCAAATGAGAGAAGAACTCTTGGCACTCACTTCCACCAGGGACTTTTTGATGACTCTGCTGATGTCYCTCCTCCACTCAGGAATGTCCGGGTTGTAGTCATCCAGGTTTGGAGAAAAGGACAAGCGAAGAGAACGGAATTCCTCTGGGGATACAACAGCAGGTGGATTACTGGAAGTCAGGTACTTTAGTCAAGCAGCATAAACTTTGTATTTGATGCAAAGCCCTCATGGAGGCTCCTCTCCTTTCACACTCACCAGAGAAAGAAAATTTTCTATCCCTGTCCCTGGTATCTCATTAGTTCCTTACTTTATAAACCGAATTCTAGGACTCTGGATCACGCCTAGCTCTGTAGACTCTATTATCCCTAGTTCCAGACTTTGCCTTCCTAGATACTAACTGACCTTAAGGCTCTAAATACATGATATACTTATGACCCCAGGGCCTTTGCCTGTCCTCTTCCTCCACTTGGAATGCCCATTCACCCCAATGTCTTTCCACAAAGCTTCAAGCTCTAGTTTAAGCTTTCCCRACTGACCTTTCTACCAAACCCCAAACATTTTAATTTTTTAATGAAACTACTATGTTTTTCACATACTTTTATCATATSATTGTATAACAATAGTTATATAATTATATACTTTTATTTATTATAGTTACTTTATCTTTTGTCTGCAAAGAAGTTTCATTGAAAGGAATTTTAAGCTCCTTATGTTGAGGACTGTGTTCGCTTTTTGTGTAACCCCCGAATTAGGCCTGGGTTCATCTGCATCCTCCAGGAAATGRGTTGGGGATTAAACAAGCAAAGATTTTTATGAACAGAATAATTTTTGGGAGAAAACGAGGAGGGACCCAGGGGAGGCATGGAGTGCCATCAGCTCACAGGCATGCAGGGCTGTGAAAGAGAGGAAGAGGGCTGGTGACTGCCCTGCAGCATGCAGAAGGCTCAGCAAGTACTGGGAGATGTTGAACCAAAGCTGACCTGCAAAGGAGTCCCCTGCGTCCCAGGAATGGGCCAGCCTCGGTACCCCTGAAACCCCCATCACTAGCTGGGACCCATCCCTAGAAGCAGCAGCCTGGCCCACAACAGCGAGGAATTCTGGAGCACAGCATCCAGGGCTTGTCAGTTTTGCTTCCCAGAGTTGGAAGTTTCTAGGGTGCATTTTTATGGCTTCTATAYCTTAACACAGGACAGTGTTTGCCAAAGGGCACACTCAGGTAAGCTCTCCCCTACAACCTGTGAGTGACTCCACAGTGAAGTTTAGAGTCTTACCAAGCCTTCCTGTTCCCCACACCCTGGTGTAGACTTACTCTCCTACCCCAGCTCACCTCTGCCTCTCCATATCACAGCATGTAGCTCTTCTCATTATTTAGTCTGCTAGCAGACTTTCTGACCAACTGACCTCAGGCAGCCTCCTGTTCACCAGCCCCAGGTACCCTCCATCTCTGGATCCTGTTTRTCTTCTTTATACCTAATATTATTTAATTTGTCTTCACTACATGTAYCCCTAACTGGAATGTAAAATGATTAAGAGCAGGGACTATGTTCTTGGCTGTGAGAGAGTGCTAGAACATAGTAGGTTTTCAATTATTATCTCTGGGACATTTAATTAGTAAATGTCTATTGAATAAATAAATGATTAAATTATAGCGAAGGCTCTCTGTTATTTCTATGTTTACTTCTTCAGTACAYAGTCTTTATTTTAAGCATGTCCTTGGGTTTCAGTAGGGGCTAAGYGATGTCACTGGTATCAATTATAAATTCAGGAAACATAAAATCCCCCTCGTGCACTTCCTAATGATGCTGATGGGTTATCAAACACATGCTTTGAAGACGCTTACATTATAAGATGTGAATTTATGGCAGTAACCTGATTCCAAAGACATATTTTTCAAAGCTTGACTATTTTATGAGTCACTGGTCACCTAGGCGAATATCACTGATTCAGTTCTGATGGARAATAACGAAATGCATGTTAATTAGCAGCGTGGTAAACCGTGGCACTGAGGATGCACCCACTGAGTCRTAACTTTGCAGCTCTGATGGTATAAATTTATGTCACTCTCAYTTTCTCTGCACCTCTCACCAAGCTCTAGAGAGTTATCTACATGGGACAGTATTCACCTTAGTGAAAGGACACGGATGATACAGCTGCCTCCATGATGACGGCTGAGAAGTGGTGATGGTGTGGCTGAATTTATTCAATAAACAGGGGCTGCCTGTGGGAGGACTTCAAGCAAACTCCAGAAATATAGCTCTTTTGCAGGTGCTGAAAGAGCATTTGCATTTTTTATTTAAAGGCAAACCCATACCCTGGAGCAAATTAATGGAAATAMTGCAGGAGCAAATTAATGGAAATAATGCAAACTAGATTTTCTTTCTTTCATTCTATTGGGGGTTACTCCAGGTAGCCAAATTTTGTTTTATTGTGTATTTATGGTGCTGGGGATTGAACCCAGGGCCTCCTGTATGCTATGCATGTTGGCCAAGCATCTGCTACTGGGCTGCATCTCCAGCCCCTCCATYCACTTCTCTGTGGAATGCCTTCTTCCTCTGACCATAACGGTATCCTCTTCCYTTTGACTAAGCTTTAGACAGGTGTCTAACGGGAGGCCCCGACCTCCCTTTCCTTGAGCATTTACTCTAAATAACTTGCAGCTGTAATTTCTTTCTCTACCCCACTGAGATGCTAAAGATTCTAATCTGCTACAACTCAGGAAAGGGTTCATTATCATCAAGAAATAAAGGTTTCCCTGTCTCCTTGATTATGAGGGAGGATGGGAAACTAACTTCCCTCAAAGGGTCATTCATTCAAGCAGAKGACTAATCACACTGATAACTCCRTGTRCTCCTCAATATTCTCCAGTAYTTTCCTATTAGCTAATCCCAGCATGTTGGGATCTTCTGCCTTTTGTTTCAGTGGAGTTCAATCCTGCCTGTTTAATTCTGTCTGGTGTGATTCTTCCTTAATAAGTCACACTTGTCATTAAAAATTCCAAATCATGTGTAGGACACCTTGGATAACTCATTTGATTGAAGATGAGTTAAGGATGGTTGGTGGCTCAGGAATTTGGTTAAAGGARGGGGAGACCACTTCCTCTGCTGAAATCTTTAATGAAGAGAGAGAGAATGCATTTTATGTAAAGTGAGTCACCCTTGGATGATTCCTTTAAGGAGACTGCAGAAAGAGGAAGAAGAACAGCAGTGGGGTAGAAGGTACACAGAAACTTGCCCTCTGGGTTCAGAATTCTTAGGCTGTTTATTTATTACACTTATCTCCTGTTTGCTTATCTGTAAAACAGTGATGATTACAGTTTTTTTTTCTTGTCTGTTCAAAGGATTCAAGAAAACAGTCCATATACATCAAGTGCTTAGAACAGATACAGGTGGTAAGTGCTTCATCAATGTTAGTTATTATCACCTTCACCTTGACCATTGCTGGATCATTAAATAGCAGAAATGACTTTAAACCAGTAATCATCCATATTTGGGKCTCAAGTTCCTATCTGTAAAATGACACCTGATAAGAAAAGGCCAAAACAACTCCAGATTTAAGGTTTTCTTTGTGATTCTAACGAGGAGGCTACCCATACACTTAACCAAGAGGACATCTGTCAGGCTAATGGCTGAGYGCCATTAGTGCAGCCTGTGACATCCAGAAGGGGCAGAGAGAGGAAAAAGAGCATCCGATGGAAAAGAAACCAAAGTCAGTCCATCAGGGTGATTTCAGACCATGGGCCCTGGGACTAGGTGGTCTGGGTTGGAAGTCCAACTCTACCTCTTACTAAGTGGGGCAAGTTATGTACCCCCAGGAGAAAAGCACTAATAATATCACCTGCCTGGTAGTAGGCTTGATACGAAGAAGATTAAATGCATTTCCYGGGACCAAGAAAAGAGGTGGGGGAGGAAAGAGAAGCAAAAGTTCTCCCCACTGCACACAGCCACTCTCTGGCCACCTGGCAGAGAGGCCGTACTCACTGATGGGGCCTAGTTAGGAAACTCTCAGCCCTTGTTTACTTCCTGCTAYTGTCTGGACTGATCAAGTCTCTTCAGGAGGAAGGGAGAGAAGAAAAATCATGAAATCTAATCCCCGGCCGGCCATGCATGGAATAGTGTYCTTGGCCCTTGGGTCCTCAGACATGCTTCAAGTGGCCTACAAATGATTTTCAGGTTTTGAACATCAAACTGGCAAGATGAGAACTGAAAAACAAAACCTGACTCTCCACAGAAAGAAGTCCCAAATTATCTCATCAGAATCAATTAATTTACAGAACTGGGGTCCTTGCTGCCCTTTCTCAGCCTTTCTTTCTTTCTTGTTCTCTCTTTTGGCACAGCACATACTTTCCTCACCTAATTTTAAATCCTCTTTTCCAACTATTCTGTGATGYATATGTACCCCTTCCATATTAATATTAAATGTTTGCCTTTTTACCCTCTCCTGATAACACCTGGTTCATATCCACCTGAACAGCTTTCTATGCAGAAAAAAAAAACTTACCAAAATGGTATCAATCTGGATATTGTTTTTATATCCCATTTCCAAGCAATGATCACACTTTTCCATTTCAGCACATTTTCATTCCATCTGATGCTTTGACCACATTCAATTTCCCACCTTGATCACAAAATTGTTCCGTACATCAGATTGTTCAATAGCCAGTCTACTGCTACGAGTGACATCCACTTATTATGACCCTTCCTTTGCTTTGCTTTTAGTCGAGCAGAGGGTTTTTTGTTTGTTCTGTTTTTTATATATTTTTTTAAATGCTGACTTTTGAAAGAGATTTTTAAAAGTAATTTGATAATGGAAGATTTCTCTTAAAGTTAAACTTTCAAAATATGCCKCGGCATTAGCTCTTTTCTTTTAGAACTGGTTTTAGCTATTCAAATGCAACCAGCATCTCAAGTGAAATGAACCGGCTTTACTCATAATGAAACCCAGCCTGCTCCACTTGAGGTGAGTGAGCCAACAGTCTAAGTGCTTCAGACCAACTTCAAGAACACAKAACAGGGCTGGAGATGTGGCTCAAGCAGTAACGTGCTCGCCTGGCATGCACAGGGCACTGGGTTCTGTCCTCAGCACCATATAAAAATAAAATAAAGATGCTGTGTCCACTGAAAACTGAAAATTAAACTAACTCACTCTCTCTCTCTCTCTCTCTCTCTCTCTCTCTCTCTCTTAAAAAAAAAAAGAAAAAAACACAGAACAAACTCCTTCTGGGTCCTGTGGCCACAGTTTTGTTGGTGAATCAAATTTCCCTAAAGGAGGAGACCAGAATCATCTCAGCTCTTTCTCAGTTGTCCAGGTGAAAGTCTAAGCCAGAAGGACTCCCAGTGCTATGGTACCAGACATCCTCACCTGAGCATGGGGGCAGGGACAGATCAGCAAAGACAGGCACTCACCRTACACTGCGATGGTCTTTGTGTCCTGCAGGATGGCATTTCCGGCGGAGACCTGCACTGTGATGGTGTTCATTCCTTCTGAAGTAAATTTGAATGATATGCTTCCCTCCAAGGTGATCAAGGGCTATAATAAATGGGAAACAGAGCAAGCAGAAAGCTGCTTGGTTAAAGTTGAAATAGCAGTAAATCAGGTGGTCGATAACTCTGCAGGGGCTCTTCCTGGTACACTAGCATGGAACTTTCTATGTATGCATCCCCATCACCTGAAATGCAGGCCAGAGGGGAGGCTGTCTATTGCAACAAGGGCCCCAGGTGATTCTCCCATTTTGGGGGGATTGGACACCTCTCTCCTGGTATCATCCTGACTCTGGACTGRAAAATCAACAACAGGTCTTTCTTGTTGATGGGATACATGTCTCTCTTTTTTCACAATCTATTTTGATGAAGCACGTGTTTTAATCCAAGGACACTTTCAAATCAAACAAGAAAGGGGATCTCTTATTAATCCAAACTTARTAGCAGCCACAGAAAATCTATACGTTGCCAAACATTCACCTCTAGGGTCTACTATTAATATGAAATTCCAATGGAACACAGCAACAGTGGACACTTAAACTGGACAATAGATAGGGGTGGGAGGTGTGGTGGCTTCCTGTGAGAAGCGCCATCAACAGTTTCCTGGAAGTAGCTTCCGTGAAAATAAGTAGTTATGGGATTGTGGTTTCAGGACTCAAAAAAGAAAAAAAAAAAGTATTGGAGGAGTGCTACCTGTAACATAAGCAGATGCCAAGTTTCTAGAAGAAAAAATTATTAATCTGCTGACCTCCCATGACTCACTCCTCACAAATATTTCTTTCCCATCTTTTCTTAATTAGCTCTAAAATCAAAATTCATTTAATTCCCTGTATGGTGGAGGGCAGACTAAAGTCCAGCATAAGAATTATTTTTAATAGGGTCGGTTGAGAATTTTGTTTTATATTAAAATTAAGAAAAAAAAACAATAGAAGGCAGAGAAGAAAGTTGTTCAGTGCTTTCACAGTCTATACCAGCTTTCAGGCAAATAGCATTGATTTCTCCTTTCCCACTGTGGACAGTGGGCCCAATGGGCTACATTTGCATGCATGGCTTCAGAAGAAATCAAGGAGCTTCTTTTGTACTCTGTTGTGTCAGCAGTGGGGGCGAGAGCTTCTTTCTCTATCAGACTTGCAGCAGGTCTAGGTGCAAGAGAGCTCTCCTCCCTGCATGTGCACAGCTACGTCTCCAGTTAAAGCCAAAATTCAGTTTTCAAAGAAAATCACGTTTTTACTAAAATGAGGTGTATAGCATTGGAAGAGCAAAGCCACAGAGTGAATGTAACTCTTGGAAGATGATAGAGCGTCCCTGTCCAGGAAGGTTCATCTGAGTGCCCTTTGGGGAAGGGATGCTTTGGGCCTTAGTCCCACTACCTTACTGACATTTGGAAGTATTTAATCTTCTGAGAATGGAATGAGTTCAAAACTGACAAAGACCATGCAGCCTGGAGGGCAGGAAAGAAAAATGAATAAAGGGAGCAGAAGGTCTGGGATTTTGCCTCTCTATGAAGCACCTAGAAGAGATTGGAGGAAGCTACTTCTGCTGTAGCAGCCTCACTCTTCTCATCTGCAAAAGGAAGGACTAAGAGTGAATGAAGGTTAAGGTCTCTACTCGTTTTAAAATTATTGCTGACTTTTGAGTACCAGGAATATTTACGGAAAACATAAAAGATGAAGCTGACCTAAAGAAAGGACCGTGTCTGATTTAGGATGCGAGGCCATTTGTGTGTGTGTGTGTGTGTGTGTGTGTGTACATGCATTTATGTGGCAGTGGGGAGGGGGTTGTAATGGATATGGGTTGCTTTTCCTGGATATGGGTTGCCTCTTTGTAATGAGATACTTAACACAGACCACCTGCTGGCCATGAAGCTAGGGCTCTCCCTGAACTCTTGCATTCATAAGCCATATTCCCTTCCATTTGGCTTTAGCCAGCATAAGCTGAGCCTCAGTCACTAGCCCTGTACGGAAGGCAGACTCACCTCCGTGTTGTTTCCATACCACCACACATAAGTGAGGGTACCCACTTGGCTGGGCCACAGCACCGCAGTTGCATTGACCTCCTTGTTCTTTGTGGTGACAAAGGGAAGAGATAGGTGCACATGCTCCAAGGGACCTAAAACACAAGACAAAGAGGGGCCATGGAGAGGGGAGAGCTTCCGCTGCTCTGCCTTCCCTGCTCTGAGAGAACACATATTTACTCAGAAGCCTCGCAAACATCACAGCCACCTTCCCTAAGGGAAGTGCCCGGTGCTCTCACCACTTTGGAGAACAGAAATATATTGCAAACAATGTCATTTTGTATTTACAGATCTTACTTCCAGGTCTATAACCTGAGTTACAGATGGTGAAAGTTAAAAAAATTTACAAGTAGTTTATGAAGTCCTTAAATGAACGGACAAGATTTCACAGGGAGATGCAAGGTCTTTCCAAGAGATTATAGCCTTGGTGATAAATGAATCAYGGGGACCTGCCGAGAATCATGTTGGGGTGAGAAGTAGGCAAATCCCCAAATCATTCCACAAGTAATTTTTCTTTATTATTTTTGCATTTCAAAGGTGTGTGTAGGTGTGCCTGTGTGTGTGAGCATGTGAGTAGGAATCTGCCTGGTAAGCATGGAACACACTATATTTGGGGCTGAGTTAGGCCTGCCCAGGAAAGAGGCACACAGGAAGGGCTCTGTGCCAGTGCATTCCAGGCTTTGGAACATGCCCTTTGTTCTTGCCATCATTGATTGGGCAGATCTTTCCATTGCCACTCACACTTTTCCCCCGGCAGGCACACCTTTGCCCTCTGTAGGGCCTGTGTTTATACACCTTTCTCACGGCCCTGTCAGCCTTCAGGTTTCGGTTCCAGCATCACCTCCTCTGTGATGCTCTCCCTGTCATTGTGTCAATGACAAATAAGACACCTTGTTAGTGAGTCATGGTCATTCATTCAATCGATAGTTCTTAAGCACTTTACATGGTTTAGATATGGGGCACCCCCCAAAAGCTGATGTCTGGGACAATGCAAGAATTGTTCAGATGCAGAATGGTAGAATTGGGAGATGCAATCTGATCAGTGAATTAATCCACTGATATGGATTAACTGGACGGTAACTCTGAGCAGGTAGGGTATGCTTGGAGGAGGTAGGTCACTGGGGTGAGCCATTAGGGTTTATATTTTGTCCCTGAGGAGTCAAGATCTCTCTGAATCCTTGTTGCCAGATCCTGAACTACTTTCCTCTGTCATGATGTTCTGCCTCATCTTGGGCCAGAGCTATAGAGTCAGCCGTCTATGGACTGAGACCTCTGAAACTATGAGCCCCAAATAAACTTCCTCTCCTCAACACTGAACTTGCCAGGTCCTTTGGTCACAGTGATGAAAAAACTAACTAAACAGTACTTTTAGGTATTGAATATTATCTTAGGTCCCAGAGATATTTAGCACTTAATAAGCTTAGGTAATTTTAAGGGAAAAAAGTTATTGAAAACATAAAGCAGGGCTAATTTTGATGGAGTGGTTAAAGAAGCCTTCTCAGAAGAAATGATGTTTCAACAGTGGCCTGGATAGAGTGAAAGATTATATCAAGTGTCTGTTTGTGATGCTCCAGTATAAAGACCTTGAGGAGAAGATGGGCTTTCCATGTCAGCGGACCAGCAAGGATGCAAGAACAGCTAAGTGGAAAGATGGAGGGAAACGTGTAGCTGAGCAGGTCCATCAGGGTTCAAGGACACACAGCACATTGGCCTTGTAGGCTCTGAAGTACATATATATGGGCTTGTATAAGTTTATACTTGCATGTATATACATTATACCTCCATAAAAGTGTGACATTTTTCAGATTTGCCTGGCCTCTTGCCTTTACCTACTTTTCATGGGTATAAAATACCTGGGTTTTGCTGTCCAGAACCCTAACCATTAAGCATCTCTGTTCTGCACAGAGGGTGAAGTCTTCCCTAAAGGAGCCACAGAGTAAAATTCCACCCCATGGAAGTCCCCAGTTGATGGTTCCTCTCAAAGAGCTAAACAAATTGGTAGATGCTGCTCTAGCATATAGGTGCCTGCGATGCACAAAAGGGACAGCAGGTGGCGCTGCATCACTCCATATGAATATTCCTGGCAAGATGGTTGAGAGAATTAGGAATTACTTGGGTGAATTGGGTTTCCCTCTCCTTTTCTTGTATTGCCTTCCCATGCTGCAGGAAACAGCTGATGTCTGTGAGACTGAACATTTTGTGTGTGTGTGTGTGTGTGTGTGTGTGTGCACATTGACTGCTGTGATCTCCCTCTAGCATTTATGTCCTGAAGACTTCTGAATATTTAATTAAATATTGCAAATATGTCATATTCTTACTTATCTGAAATTATTTTTAAAAAGACACTAGAGGAAGTAAAGGGGATTTGAACTATAAGGAAGATATTCCTAAATCAGACTTTTTCAAACTTCAGCATATATAAGAAGCATACTAATGTGTTCAAAGCACACTATGATACTACATTTCCTATTATCTTAATTTAGTAGGTTAGGGATAGAACCCAGAAAAAGAAAATTACTATTTAATTCTGAGCAGGTGGCTCATTCAACCACACTTAAAAAAAAAAAAAACTGTTCTGATTTGCCAGTCAATATAATGATGGCATGAATAGTTGCAAAGCCACATGTTTTTTCAAGCCATATGGATAACTTTACCCTAAGGTGGGGCCAGAGAGATATCTGCAAATTGCTCCTATGTAAGGGAGCAGTTAAGGAAATGGTTTGAGGAAGAACTAGAACATCTACCTCATCTTCTTTCACCTCCCATCCTGCAAGTTTGCAGAGTCTTCAATGTTTTGTTTTTTTTCTTGCAAGATGGTTGTGATAGGGCAGCTTTCTGAGCAAAAATCTGCATGCCCTCTAAATTCTCTGTCCCATCCAGCTGAAGGCAATGCTGACTGCAGCACGTGTCTCATTAGTTTGCAAAACAGCAGAGCACAGTGAATACTATCCCCAAGGAATTTCCAACTGTCAGCCTTCAACAAATTACCCAGGCGCTCTGTGAGAGCGGCTGGCCCATTCCTGCACGCATTAAAGCAGGAACATGGGCTCCATTTGTTTCTGATGACCTTTGCAAACCCATATTGAAAAACCTCTGATTTGGAATAAAATCACCTTTCTGCACTGGAGAGTRGAGAGAATGTGTATGTAAGACAAGAAATGGGTTTTCTGGAGTTGACCGATGGGGGAGTCAGTGGGACAGAGGCAGAGAGGAGGTTAGCAAGCTTTGTGGCTAGTTCTGTAGCTCAGAATCCACAAAGTCCAAATGCACATGCTACTTTAAGATAAYGGAAAACCAAATGTTGTTAGTTGACAGGGTACTGCTTGATAGATCTTTTGAGAACAAGATGTGCTTCCATTTGATAGAGAAGAAAATCTAGGTTCAGTGAGACAGAGTAATATGACCAGCATTTGGACTTAAACAGCACATCAAACTCTGTCTAGTACTTTTAAAAACTTTTCCCTCACAAAGCCAACTCTGTCCTGCACTTAGGCACTAAAAATCACTTACTACACCTCCCAGGCATTAGAAGTTTGGGAGTGTGACTCAGGGCTACTCTTATTGTGACTTCCTTTTATTGTGAAACAGTGCCAAAATCAGAGAGCTTCTCCAATCTTTGTTTTCTCTACCTGAAAGGAAGGGCCTAAGTCATTTATTATGGTATAGATGTGAAAACAGACAAAATGAGTTTAAGGGCATAGTAAAGCACCCCAGAGCCTTTAGAAGAGGTGCTGAGCTAACGTGTCAGAACCTGTGGACCCTGCTGAGGTGTGGGTATTAGGTTAATATGAGCTACAAACAGCTTTAAATGTGATCCTGCTTTAACACAATCTGTATATAAGAGTGAATTCTCGTCCCCAAGGCCAGGCTCAGAAAGGGGTTCCATTAATATGAGGAGGTGGGCTTACCCAACAACTTCACCCAAGAGGAGTCTGAGAGATTAAARTCAGAACACAAACATTCAATCACAAATCATCTCCTGCTATTTTACCTGATCAACCAGGTTGATGGAATGAAAAAAAATGCAGAGGAACAAAGAAACTCATTTCTTTTAGAAGCCTTGGGCTTTGGCAGGCCTTAATCTTGAGCAGAGGTCAACTATCTATTGTTTTCCTTCCCTGGATTTAGGAAATCAGGGAGGGTCCTTAGGGGAAGCAGTAGATCCCTCAAGGGATCTGATCATGTATAAAAATGAGAAAAAGTGCACAGAGGGACAGGGAGGTTGAGCCAGGGAGGACTCAATGGGAGGCCCTGAGAAGCTGAGATCAGAGCCACTCCTGAATTCTAGGTCCAGAGTTGTACATGACTGGAGTGAGGTGAATGCATAATAAATACATGAGAAGTGGACTGCAGCTCCATTTCCCAAGGAGGGTAGCTGTCTGGTAGAAATCCCCCCTCACAGAACAAGTTGTAGGAAATGATAAGCTACTAGAAAGGCCACCATTCTCAGCAAATGGACTGACATTTGTGACGCAAGTCATTTTTTGGTTACCAATAATCAACGTTTGTGGTGTACCTTCAGAGATTTTTACATTATTCTCATGATCATCCATCCCTTTTATTGCCCTCAACACTGATGGAAAGAGGGTATTGTGTCTTGGGCTATATGAGATGGAGGGGAACCTGGGCAATGCATCTTAAACCTGCATAGTTGTGTAGCAAGGAAGCTACTTCTAACCTAAACACTCATATTTCTTCAGGATGTCTGCCAAGGTAGGCAGGGAGAGAATTCCTGCTGATGGAGTTAGTTCCTGCAGCCCCAAGCCACCCTTCACACTGACTCCAACTTTAGTGATCAAGAACTGGAATTCCTGAGACTGGCAGGCCTGAGTCTGGGGCCTGGCTCTCTTAGGTAGTACATCAGCTACCTCAAACAATTCACTTTTAGCTCTGTGGTCCTTTGCAAAGCAGAGTTTCTCACTGCTTCTACTTCATAGGATTGTTTTGAGAAGTGTGGTAATACACATAAAGAGCTTTTAGTGCAAAGCCTATCTGGCATATAGAGGAAGAGCTTAATAAAGTGTAGCCAAAGTGGGGGAGACAGTTAGCAAAGTGGGAACCCTGCCTAACTCTGTTTAGACCCAAATAAGGGAGTGTGTGCTTCCTCAGAGAACCTCAGCCATGAGTATACAATAGGCAAAGATGGAGAAGAAGTAATATATTTGGAGTCTTCAGCAACCACACTGTCTCTTGGGCATCCCTAAATAGTCCTGTCCTTTCACAYAGTTTTTATATTATTCTTATTATTTAAAGTCAGAGACCTAGATGTTACTTTCATTACTCCATTTTGCTCCCTGGGCAAGGTGCAGGGGAGAGGTATAGAGTATTGTCAGGCCTTAATACTCTTTCTCTGGGGACTTGAAATTTGAACTAAGCCTTAATATAAAGAAATTACTTTAATGTAAACTATTTTTCTAAGAACCAAAATGAGTCTGAGGACTGTGGGGGACAACTTCATGCATACGATATTTATGACACACAATATACCCAACATACTTTAGTTGTTATCTCATTACATCCAGCCAGGCCTTCTGATTCCTCAATGGGGAAAAGCTATAGCATGTCTTGGAACTCTTTCCTAGGGTAGTTTTCTTAACACTCATAACACTGTTTCCCTCCATATCACCTTCTCTGGAATACCAGACCATCCTTAGACAGTAGCCCAAAAATCATATTAAAAAGAAAAAAAAAAGGAGTGAAAATGTTAAAAGGATGATTTTTAGCAAGACATAACTTAGAAAACAGAAATAAGTGGGTAGGGGAGCAATTCCTTTGCCTGTGCTAGTTTGATTGAACTGTGCATTTCTTTGTTTCTGACCATTTGTAACCAAAGAGCTGGTGGTGGGGAGGCCACTCATGTCATGTTTCAACTGAGACATTCTGAAAATTGCCCAGGTTCAGGCCCACACGCAGGTGCTATATCTCTGGGGTACCTGGAAGAAATAATCTCACTGCAGTTACAATTTCAAGCAATTCAGATTCCAAGATGGCTCAGATTCCCCTCGTGGATTTTCTTCTTACTTTATCTCTACTTTGCCCTCTGACTCATTTCCTTTCCCCCCCTCTGCTAAAATGTAACTCCTGTGTTTCTTCTGGATAAGAAATGCGGGATCACATTTTAAAAGGACATGAATTTAAGCTATGTCATAAGCCAACAACAGTAATAACATACAAGTTACATGTAAGTACAGGACGGCGCTGTCAGACCCCAGACTGTTGTCCACCTGCACCGTCACTCGGAAAATGCCCACGTTCTGATAGACGTGTTTGATCCCATCTTCCATGGAGCTGAGATTGACGTAAGACACTGCAATGCCATCACCAAAGTCCACTTGGATGAGTGTCCGCTGGACATCACCCTGCAAAAGAGCCCAGAGTCAGTCAGCAGGAAGGGAGTCAGAGCTTGGCTGCACTTTCTAGGGGCCTGAGGCTTGTTTTGGTCTTGACTCCTCCAACAGCTGGGAACATCTGTCTGTTTTGATAGAATCCCTCTGACACTCCCTGGCAGACAGGAATTTGCTAAGACGGATACTCTCCAAACGTGAAGGACACCAACTACCAGAAATTTCAAGGCTTTGGAGATTAACAGTGTTTGATTATCAGGTTCAATTTGATATTCAATTACTCAAGAAGGCTTTGTTAACAGTCTTATCATCCACATCAATAAAGTTGCACCCAGGTGGCTTCCAAAATTCAGCCTACCTGTTGTGGTCACCAGGTACCTTCTGCGTCTCCTAAGTCATCCACTTTGTTTCTGGTTCCCTAACCATGTTGGAGGAAGGGTAGAGGACACCTAGCCTGACATCAGATAGGACACTGAATTCTCTTAAAATTCAGTATTTTGTATTAAGAAAATGGTCTCATTTTAGTCTTCACAGAATCTGAGTCTGAATAAAAGAACAGGGACAGTTCAAATACCTTGACAGATGAAGAATCTGAAGTCTACAAAGGTTTCATCATTCACTCAGGTTAACACAGCTAGTAACTGGTGGACCAGGATTCTGACCTGGTCCTCTGGATTTTGGTTCATCCATTTCAACATACCACTGTGAGTAAAGCATTGAAGCCCCTGAGGCTTGAATCCCACTGTGTTATTAACAAGCTAGATGACTTCATACATGGGGTCTATCATTCAGCCTGCTTTGGTCTCAGTTACCAAATCTATGAACTGGACACAATACTACCATACCATCTTAACTCAAAAGTTTCTTAAAAATATGTAGATATTTAGTAATCCATAAAATGTTACACAAAAATAAATGACTATAAAAACAACACAGCTGTAAAAGACCTGCAATACTTCTGCAAAGCTGGAGTGGGATTATATGAATCTAAATTTCCCATGAGCAGACAGAAGATAAAGTCTCTATTCCAAAACCTCARACCTCTTTAGTTTCTCAAGAAGCAAAGTTGCTTAGACCAAATTGGCAAAACAACAAAAACTAAAAACTTCTTTCACTCAGTCCATCTTTATCAAACTATGTTTCATTCTTTTTGATAGTCTTTCCCATTTTCAGATAAAAAGAAACAGAAAAAAATACCTTTAAACTAGAAATGTCTTTTTGATTAAGTAAGGTTTATATGGTATCATATTTTTTGAAAAGGCCAAATTTAAAAGCTGATGGTTAAAGGATTATTTCACAGCCAAAGGAAAAGCAGTTCAAATCCTATGAATCTGTGTGACCTACTCCTCTGATCTATGCCTAGCCGAGCATTGTCAAGGGGCACACAGCAGCTAACGCTCATTGAGAACCTAGTACAGCTCTCAGGAAAYACACAGGCCAAAGTCCTCCCCTGGGGTGGAAAAAGAAACCCRACTCAAAACTATAAAGCAAACATCCACAAACTCAGGCATTGTGGAATTACTTGAATTCCCTTCGTTAATAAATATAAATGTCAACTCTTCTTGCTAACTTGTCCTTCACTTGGGCAGCCAGAGTGGACTGATGAATCCATCTTTCTGTTGCTGGTGAGTTTCCATTTCCAGGTCTTCTGGGTTTTTGACAGAGTGATTGGGAAGCCAACCCTACGTGTGTGCTGGGGGCCGGGGGGGGGACCACTTTTTTGAAACCAGGTTCTGGGGTAAATATCAGAGTAGAMGGGGTTCTCCAGGGCATGTGACAAGCAGTGGAGTGGGAGAGGGAGAGAGATAAGCTTTGTGRGGACAAAGAAGGCATCAGACAGAGGCCATCGCTTACAAGAGGACGGAGGGGAGATTCCCACCTATAGCCAACYCTGCTTCATTCTCCCCTGAGAGAGAGACAAAGAGATAGTGAAGGAGAGAGAAGCCACCCACAGAACCGGAAAGAGTAAAATGTCAGCCAACATCATTTCAGTCTACATTGCTGTTAATGTTCTGTTTGSTATTCATTGTTTTCCTTTAGTTGGCCTTGACTTAGACATCTTGTCAGTTACATAAAACCCCTCCACGTTCTATCTGTCTGGATTTCATGTGGTCCTTTGGCTTGATAACATTCTGACATCTCGATTTATGATAAAGTTYTCTGTACATACAGTTGGTGAAAGAAGGGAGTTACTCAATGTTTACATGAATGCAGCAATAAGCATCTCTAATGGAAAATGTTTTAAATATACCACCCAAGACCACAGCAGAATCAGGTTTTTAGAAGATCCATTTACCTATCTAGATGTATGTACATATATCTAGATAGACATATATCTAACCTTAATATACATATATATCACCTAAACACACACACATTTTGCAAGGAGGTAAATATTAACCAAATTCACAATACAAACATGGCCTGGGATTTCACGAGCTTCCACATCATTCGTGAGATAAATGCATTTTAAACAATCACACCAGTAACAAAAAGGCATGGGGAGTGTCCCGGGGCATGGTGAGCTCATACAGTAAGGAGAGCTGGGAGGCTCATGGACTGGGAACTTCAAGGAAGTCTTCCCAGAGAAAATGATAACTGAGCTGAGAAAACCTGAAGGAAGAAAATAAATTAACCAAATGAAAAACTGAGTGAGAGAGTGGGARGTGAGGGAGGTGGGGAGAAAGAGAGAAATCGATGTGGAAGGCTCTGTGGCAAGGGGAGATGGTACAGTGGAAACAGSTAAAGGAGACTAAAGGAAGATACGACAAGGATGTCTTGTAAAATGAGGCTGGGGAGGAGACAGAGGTCTTTTGGGACTTGAGGGTCCAGTTTCTGAATTTGACCTTTCTTCTAAGAGCAATGGACAGCCATGAAAGTGTGCCAAGCAGGAGTTTGGGGTAAGATGCATGGTGATACATGATCTCTCCAGCTACCATGTGGAGGATGGAACGAAAGGGGTCCATGTATGCTGGGAAGCTAATGAGCAGGTAATTTGGGGTAGATGATGGCAGACTGAAAAGAAAAGCTGCCTCATGAAGTTACACGCATCTCTCTGAAAACTAACTCAAATAGTTTATTGGTGTCATAATCAGTTATTCCGAGCATTTAAAAGCAGCATCTCTTATAGATTTTTTTTTTGAATGTTGATGCCCAACTACTCCCAAGAACCATGTTTCATGGTTTCTGGGGAGGATGCTCAGTCTAGCTGCAGATCTAGAAGGTCCCCCATTGACATGGGGCTGTACTCAGGGTTGAGGCCCTCTGGTTCAGACTGTTGAATGGCAGGCCTTCTTGTGATTGGATTCATCCAAAGATGAATATGGTATAGCACAAAATGATGCTATTCTTATTAGATTTTAAYGTGATGATAAAGTTTCTTCAGGATGCTCTAGGATTTGAAGTGCTAAAGGTGCATTAATAAAGCCGGGGATGGAAGGGCTAAACTCCTTGTTGGTGGAATACAGCACAATCACTCACAGAAGTTCTGGGATATGTGCAGTCAAGATCAGCTGCCTTCTCTAGGAAAATGAGTCACTGGCTGATACTACACTCATTTGCAAAATCCTAAGGGCTGGAATGTATTCTGCTAGTGTCTGGATTCTGATAATTATTTTTTTAATGCAGYTTGATTATTGTGCCTTTATAATGTGTTTGTTTATCAAAATGGTATTTTTTAATATATTATCTCATTTAGCCATTAAGATACCYGGGAGATTGAAAGGACAGATGGAATTTCTCTTTGATACAGTAGGAAACTGGGGCGGAAACATGTTAAATAAGATTCCTAGAGTCACACAGCTATTAAGAGCATTCTGGAGGGGTTTTAGACTGTCCATTTAGCACRGTTCTCACTGAGTTTCTTCAGGTGAGAGTTCCTAATAATACCTTTCAGGGTGAGAGCAAGGTGATAACAAAGATGAGGCTTCACTTTTCTTCTCTTGTTTGACTCTATTCACTGCTTTGACTGTTTTCCCCTCGGTCAACATTTTGACTTAGATACTTCTAACTAAAGAAGGGTTGGCATGAATTCCATACTCTTACCTTCTCTCTGGCCCCAGTGAAGCAGTATCATGCTCAATCCATAGAGAAGACAGAGAATATAAGACTCAGTTTCCATAATCCATGGTTGGGGAAGCTTTATGTATAATTGAGAGTTACTTGAATTTAATGAATGAAWGCCATTGTTTCTGCACCTGAACCCAGGCCAGCAAACCCCTGGACTATCACAGAAAGTTCTTTACATCCACGGCCCTTTACAGTCACCTGCCCTAATATWGACGCAGAACTGAGAAGACTGGCTCAAATAAGTGCCTGGCAAAAGCAAAAAYGCCACAAGAAATCCAGATGGGGATTCTCCAAAGGCATCACTGACTTCTGTAATAGAAAAACAAATGTCTCAATCAGCCACAATGAAGCCCAGATTAACCGAAGCAGTGAAAGGTGTGTGAACCTATCAGATTCTGTGAYATAGACTCAGAGAAGAACGGGAAAATAAATGCCACAGTAACTCCACACGGAGGCCTCAGTCCAGAAGCAAGACACAGAGTCACAAGGAAGTGTCAGAGACCCGCTGCATGAAACCAAGCTCATTGTCAGAGCATGACAGTGCGCCTAACTCAGGCTTGGGTACCATTTTGTCTCTGAAGGAGCTTAAAGATCATCCAACAAAAACTGCATTGTAGAGACCGAGTTAGTACATCCCATTTCATTAAAAATAAACAAAAAATGTCACAGTGTATATACCATAAGTCTAAGTGGGTGGGTATGAGAACAGAGCAGGGTGTTAACAAATGTAACCATGCTGATTACTCTGGCTTGGGTGGCCTAAAGGGAGGGGCCGGAAGACAACAGGAGCTCTGAAAGACAGGGGAGAAATGTGGGGAAATGGTGATCCCATTAGATTTAAAAGGGGGATAGAAGCATTGCAAATCACAATATTTTATCTCCACTATTACCGTAAGTATTGAAATATTGATTAAATATATGGGACCTAAGCAGAATGTGACACYGAT